CCCGCCCCACCCCCTGCCACGCTGGCCAGGCTCGGCGGGGTGAGCGATGCCCGGCACGGGGCCAGGGGAGACGTCCCGGACCCCGCTGCCTCCCGCTGCCTCCTCTCTGGCATCTCTCAGGGACGTGTCATTAGTTTCAGTAACTGCGGGATGTCTGGAGTCCCTGTTACACTAATTATCTCTGCTCCTCTATTAGGCATGCTTAATTAGCCAATGTTCACACATGGAGGTCAGCGTTGGCATACCGCGGTCCAAGCGCTGTCGCCCTTCGTGTCCCCATGTCGCCTGCTGCCTCTGCCGTGCCCCTGCCATGTCCCGGGCACGGGTGAGGACCGTGCTGGCAGTCCGGTCCCCTCGTGTTGGGGGCAGCAGGGACCTCTTTTCCATCCCCACCTGCCCACAGTCCAGCCCAGGACAGTCCTGGCAGCTCAGGTGCGGGGAGCTATTTTGCAGGAGCGATGTTTGCTGGTGATGCTCGAGGATGAAGTCTCGGCATTACCGGCAGCCGGAGCTCACCAATCTCCCCTGAGAGCTAAAACCAGGCAAAGGTGGATTCCTGCATCCCCCAGCCCCATTTCCCAGCCAGCCTTCAGGATCCCCCCGCTAAGAAGAAGCAGGCTTATCCCCGTGCGCTGTTACAGCTCGAAGCATTTGATTTGCTCCGTACCGAGATAAATCCAGGCTGCAACGACCTCGGGAGGCTGGAGTCGCTGTGACGTGGGGGGCGAGGAGACGGAGCTACCGGGCAGCTCGGGGCAAAACCGGTCACTCCAGCAGACAGCCGGAGGGAGGGAGGGGTGCCATCGGACAAGTCCCGTCTCCCCATAGGCACTGCTTTCCCCCCTCAATCCCCTCTGCTCTGCAGGTCCTGGTCCCATCACAGAATCACAGACTGGTGAGGGTTGGAAGGGACCTCTGGAGATCATCTAGTCCCACCCCCCGCCAGAGCAGGGGCACCTACAGCAGTGGCACAGGACAGCGTCCAGGCGGGTTTGGGATGGCTCCAGAGGGGGAGACTCCCCCACCTCTCTGGGCAGCCTGTGCCACTGCTCTGCCGCCCTCACAGGAAAGACATTCCTCCTCATGTTAAGACCGCTGAGCCCAAGGGGGTGGCCAGTGCCAGATGGAGCAGCCTGTGTTGGGGCCAGGGCAGCCCGGGCAAGGGGTGAGGGTGGGTGGCAGTGGTCTCTGGAGGTGGAAGGCGGCCAGGGCATGTCGGGGCACTGAGGACTGCAACCCTGGTTTATCCTGGGTGTTTCTGGGCATGACAGCACCCTAAGAAAGAGCTGTGGGGTTCAGAGGTGGCTTTAGATGCCTGTGAGGCTGCAGGACCTTGCCGTGGCCGGTCGGCTCGGGGTTGAAGGGGGCTGAGATGGAGAGAAAGGGACAGTCCCTCCTTCTCCAGGTCACCAGCTGGTTGCTTCCCTGGCGACTTCTGGTGGGGATGGCTTGCACCGGTACCAACTTCTGGTGGGGATGGCTTTGTACTGGTACAGACTTCTGGTGGGGACGGCTTTGCACCAGTACCTGCTGCCCTCCAGGACCTCTCTGGCTCCATCCCCACTGAGAGCTGTCAGTAAGCACCCTTCTTTACCTGGCAAGAGGGGACCCTGGGGACCCCAGGGATGTCTTCCGAGCCCATGTGATGCTCTCCTGGGCTGGGAGATGCGTAGGGACGGGGACTGGGGCTCTTGCTTGCAGCAGGAGGGCTGGGGAGCTCCCGGGTATGGGGTCTATGTAGGGCAGGACCCCCACCTTGGCCTCCCGTCCCCACTGCCCCCACCTCCCTCAGCGGATCATCTGATGCTGCTATTTCAGGTTGAGCCCAGAAACTCCAGAGGGTGCAAAGTCAAAGTTTGCCACCATCGCCCCAGTCCCGTGCTGCTGGCCGGCATCCCCCCCATCCCCGTGGGCCGATCTCCCAGCCGTGGCATTTTCCTCCTCCTGGGGCCAAATCCTGCTAACCCCTTCCCCTCCCGCTCCCTGCAGGGCCGTGCCTGCGACCACTATGGCATCTACCACACCAGCCCCACGCTGGGCAGCCTGGCCAAGCCGGTGGTGCTGTGGACCCAGCAGGATGTGTGCAAATGGCTGAAGAAGCACTGCCCGCATAACTATCTCATCTACGTCGAGGCGTTCTCCCACCACGCCATCACAGGTACGGTAGACACCTCCACTTAATGACCGGTACTAACTGCCATTAGCACGTGCTCCTGAGAAATAGCTGTTTGGAGGTTCGTGGTTCGGAAGACAGACGTACCCCCCATTTCTGTCACCTTATCCCATGGAGATGCAGCCGGAGTGAGAGCCGCTCCACAGCACTGGGCATGGAGACACCCACCCGGGCTGGGCAAGGGGCATCTGCCACTGGGGCAAGCTCCAGGACAGGCTGGAGGTTGTTTAAAATGAGCATAAATTGCCTAGGGGAGATTGAGGTGTATAAGATGGGGAACAGTCCTCTCCTCGTGTAGGTTAATATAATAAGAATATTTTTATAGTTTTTTTAAATGCCGAAAATTTATGCGGAAGAGGAAAGATCTCTGCCCAGCTGGAGTCCAAGTTGCAAATATCTTCCTACAGATCCTCCAGCCAAGTCCTCAGAGGAGAATAACCTCTAGGACCTGCTCCCTCCCTCCCTGGGGACTCTGTCTTTGACCCTTACTTGCGAGCATCGTTCTGGTCCGACCGCACTGCGTGCAGGGCCGGGCAGAGCTCTGCCAGGGCCAGAAGAAAGCAGCGGGGAAGGGAGCGCTGGAGCTGCCCGGGAGGGATGCAAAGCCCTAATGTAAGAGCTCAGCCAGCCCTTGCATGGGAAACAAAGGCAGCATTAGCAAATGTACGCTGGGAAACAAGGACAAAAGCTGGTTGTAAATCCCTCGTTTAATAGCCCCCGGACTGGAGGAGAGTGGCTGGCCTGGGACGGTGGTGGCAATGCTAATGTGTTTTGATGGGTACCCCCATTCCCCCGGGACGGTCAGCCCACACGGGGACCGTGCGCTCGGAAAAGCATCTCCTGACGCAGGAGGTGGAGCGGAGAAGTGGAAAGCTCCTGCCTGCGGGGATGGGTTACGTGATTGCTGGAGCCGGTACCTGTCCCGAGGCTGGGGACGTCGAGCTGCCACCCGGCGCTCTCCAGAAGCGGGGCCACATGCGAGGCTCATCCGTCCCTGTGGGTCCAGGTGGTGAAAGAGCATTTTAGGGTTTCTTCCCTTTCCCCCTCCTTGTTCCCACGTGAAGATGGGTTCCCACGTGAGTTGCGCTTTTATGGCGTCCCCGTCACACCGTGCCACCAGCCGGGCGCTGAGCGATGCCGTGTTTGCAGGTCGGGCGCTGCTGCGGCTGAACGGGGAGAAGCTGCAGCGCATGGGCATCGCTCACGAGGCGCAGCGGCAGGAGGTCCTGCAGCAGGTCCTGCAGCTCCAGGTGCGCGAGGAGGTCCGAAACCTGCAGCTGCTCAGCCAAGGTAGGGCCGGCGGGAGGCCAAGCGGGGACAGAGGCCATCAAGCCCAACCTCGGGCAGGTTGTGCCCCTCCTGCAGCCGTCCACACAAGGAGAGCAGTGGCGGGGGGGCAGAGGCTCCCACCCGCACGTCGCTGGTGCGAATGCAGCCCACGCTGGGGCTGGGATGGGATGGGGAGCGCAGGTTGGGAGAGGGTGGTGGTGCACGGGTTGGGGTGCACTTGGATGGGTTATGGTGGACAGGTTGTGGTGCACAGGGCTGCGGTGGACGGGGAGGAGTCGTGATGCACTGGTTGTGGTGCGCAGGTTATAGCGCACAGGGATGGGCTGTGGCGCACAGTTTGTGATGCACTGGATGGGTCGCGGTGCACAGGGATGGGCTGTGGTGCACAGATTTTGGGGCACAGGGACAGGTTGTGGTGCAGGTTGTGGTGCACAGGTTGTGGTGCACAGGGATGAGTTGTGATGCAGTGGTTGTGGTGCACAGGGACAAGCTGTGGTGCACAGGTTATAGAGCACAGGGATGAGGCATCGGCTGTGGTGAACAGCCTGTGGTGCACAGAGATGAGTTGTGGTGCACAGATTTTGGTGCACAGGGACAGGTTGTGCACAGCCTGTGGTGCACAGGGATGAGTTGTGGTGCACAGATTTTGGTGCACAGGGATGAGTTGCGGTGCACAGATTTTGGTGCACAGGGACAGGTTGTGGTGCACAGCCTGTGGTGCACAGAGATGGGTTGTGGTGCACAGTTTGTGGTTCACTGGGATGAGTTGTGGTGCGCAGGGATGGGCTGTGGTGCACTGGTTGTGGTGCACAGGGATGAGTTGCGGTGCACAGATTTTGGTGCACCGGGACAGGTTGTGGTGCACAGCCTGTGGTGCACAGAGATGAGTTGTGGTGCACAGTTTGTGGTTCACTGGGATGAGTCGTGGTGCGCAGGGATGGGCTGCGGTGCACGGGGATGAGTTGTGATGCACTGGTTGTGGTGCACAGGTTATAGAGCACAGGGATGGGCTGTGGTGCACGGGGATGAGTTGTGATGCACTGGTTGTGGTGCACAGGGACAAGCTGTGGTGCACAGCTTATAGCACACAGGGATGGGTTGTGGTACAGAACCCAAAATCCATCATCAGTGGCATTTTGCATGGAAAGGATGGGATTCTCCAGGGCTGGCAGTGGGTGAGCTGGAAAGTACCACCCTGCAGGCTGTTTATTCCTTCCTCTCCCGCCTTGTTCCAGCTTCTTTTGGAAATGTCTCCTAGCTGATCCGTCTGTTTGGCAGATTGTACCATCACTGTGAACCGAGCACCTCTGGGATGGGCTGTGCACCGCCGATACGAGACCTGAACCGCACACTTGGAATACGAAGAGACAGCTTCCCACCCACTCCGGGGCTTCTCTCCTTCTTCTTCTTGCTTCTTCTTTCTTTTTTTATGAATACATTTCTGTGCAGAGATGGGAGGTTTCCTCCAGCAGACGTGGCTCTTGGCTGGAGCAAAATTAGCAAAACGGCTGCTGGGACAGACGAACTTTTGCCCACCTGAGCCGGGCGGTTCAGTTTTGAAAGAGATGGGAAAAAGGAGACGGCGACGGGCAGTGCTCAGCATTGCGGACAAATCGAGCGCGGTTATTCCCGGGACGGCTCAGAGCCGTGCACAGGACGGTGAAGCCTTACGCACATGGGCGACATCCCAGCACCCGGAGGCTCATGTCCATACCTCGGAGCTTATTTAGGGAGCTTTAGTTTTCTCTTCAGACTGGGCTGTCTTCCAGCATCCTAGGAGCTAACGTTATCAGTAGCAAATAAGATGACCCGACCAGCCAAAAACGAATTAAAAGCGGGGCCAAGTCACCGGCGCCCAACTCCACCTGATGAGTTAAAAAGGGAGCTGAGTCATCGGAGCTGGAAAATCCGGGAGCAAAGGCAGGGTGGATGTGCCGGGAGGGTGCCGTGGCCCGGAGGAAGCTGTGCCAGGAGCTCGTCCTTCATCCGTCCTCATTTGCAGGCAGACGGGGGGAGCCGAGGCCGGGGCCGGGCGGGAGCAGCCGGGGATGCCGCCGGGCAGTGCCGGGTACTGCCCGGGGTGAGGCTGGGGGTTCCTGGGTGCCGGGTCCCCCCCTGGCCCCGGTGCCCTGTCATGCACCCTCCCACACCGTCTGCGCTCCCCCCAGCCCTTCGCAGAGCTCTGTACCTCCGGGAATTTGTAAATTCTCATCCCGACCTCCTGCCCAGGGGCTGGTGATGATGCCAGCGAGCCCAGGCACCTTCCCGATGGCCCAGATCACCATTAAGATGAAGCGGCGTTTACTGTTACACCCCCACCACCACCCAACCCTCCCCCCCCCGCCAGCCCCGTCCGGAGCCACAGACCACTCACGTGGGCAGGTAAGGAACAACGGAGGATTTGGGGGCACGGTGGATGCTGTCACCTCCCCACATTCCCCCTCCGGGGACAAGGGCAGGGCTGCAGGGGCAAGGGGGGTCCCAAAACAGCAGCGCCCCAAAGCCCCCGAGGCATCGGAGCTGGCAGGGGTGCCGAGGCGGGTCACGGTGGCCCCCCCGGCTGGGTGCCCCCTCGCGACCCGCCTGCTCCTCTGCTGGTAATAAAATAAGAGACTGTTATTTTAACTTGCTGCTCTTCTGACTCTTCCCACACCTGAACCCACACCGGGGGTTTAGTCCCTCCAGCCGTGGGTGGGATGCTCAGTCCCAGTGATGCTCAGGAGATGTCTACAGCCCTAAATCCCTCGGGACAACCACCTCCACGGGGGACAGGGGTCCCAACAGACGGCCCTGCAGGAGCAAACCTCAGCCCGGGGGTTTTGCCAGTGTTTAAATCCCCCCCCTCAGCTCCACAGAACTGCTGAGAATTAAGAAGCTGCTAATCTTTGCCAGCGGGCAGCTGGATGGGGCAGTGGGGGGAGGACTGGGGGGTATTGGGGGTCATGGTTACCACTCTGGTGCGGATAACAGCTCATGGCAAAGCGAAGGTCTCCAAAGCTCGTCTGTGAGCGGCGTTACCCCGGCTAATGAGCTGTGCTAAGCGGGATGGGAGAGCGCAGGGCTGCGGGCAGGGTTAAGGGCAGCAGCAGCCCAGTGTCATCCCTCTCCCATCGCAGTGACACTGCTCCTCAGTGAAGGAGCTGGGAGGTTTCCATGGGGGTGGGATCAAAGATGAGCTGAAAATTAGTTGTTTGCCCACAGCTAGCAAAAAATAGCAATTGCACCCAAAGGTGTTTTGCCTCCCTCCTGAAGCCCCCGAGGAAAGCTGTCCCCCCCAGAGCCCTCCAGGCATTCTCGAGGTGTTGGTGGGGCAGGAGGAGATACAACACCCCAGGGATTTGCCTCCAGGATTTGGAGGGTAGGAACCCGCCAGGACTCGGGCCCCCGAGCACCGACTAAGGCTGGACGGGAGGTTGTGAGACAGCACCTGACGTGGTGGGGCCCAGGTGGGATGCAGGATGCGTGGAGCATCCTCGGGTTCTGGCTGCGGTGGCCATGCTGGGTCCCAGGGGGGTGGTTCTACAAGTCCCCGGTGATGGAAAGGTCTCAGAAACAAAATCTCACTCTCAAAGCATTTTGGTTTGGATAACGGATTCACCAAATGGTACCAGGATCCAAGCAAGTGAATCCTCTCTCCTGCACCAGGGTGATTTCCACGAGACCAGCATCACCAACTCACATCTGTCACCCTCAGAGCAGAGGTTTGGCGCTGGGCTGAAGGCGAAGCCTCCAAATTTCCCAAATCCAAATTCCTTCCAAATTCCCAAAAATCCAAATTTCCTCCAACTCAGAGAAAGGCATCTCCTGGTCAGTGCTTTCAATGGAGCAACCCAGACCGCGGTGGTTGCTCTCTGCGTGTGGGTTGGCTCGGTCGGACCTCGCCAGCAGGTAATTCCCATTTGAGCTGTGCTGTGGCGGGGGCAGAGGGGGGGGGCTGTGACCCGTGGGCTTCCTCCAGAGTGAACCAACTTCAGGGCTTCGCTGCGTGCAGCCCCCCCCCTGCAGGACACAGAAATCAGAATTTCCTCCTCTGCCCATACTGACCTTTTCAAAACTGTGGCAAAATTGGCTCCTCTAACCTCGCTAGAACCTCGCAAGCAACAAAGCTGGGGGAAATTATTGAATTTTAAGAAAAGGAAAGAAAACAACCAGGGAAAAAAAAAAAATATCTCTGTGGCAACACCGCTCTCAGCTGTGGGCTCTGCACCGACGGCTGTGATGGAGCCACACACCCGTCCCAGCCGCGGCAGGATCCCAGTTTGCTCCTCGTTACCGCCCTACGTGGAGAGCAGATCCCTGTGCAGGATGCGGCCCCGTCCCCTGCCGATGCAGCCACGTAGGACACTATTAAACCTTCAATCCTGGATGGATCGGAGCTACATACAGCCCAAGTGAGACAATCCGTGGCCAAGAGCCGGGTTGATTCCCCCACCGTGGGTTCAATTTCTGCCCGAGTGATGGGTGCTGGTGAAGGTGGGTGGTGGTGGAGGGTGCCGTGGGGGGCAGCAGGAGTGGTGGTGGTGGCACACGGGGCTTGTAGTGTAGCTCATCAACATAATTGTTGATAAGCAAACAGAACTCTTAGAAACGGGTATTGTTGCCCTTTAAGTATTGATATATTTATTACTCCGGGCTGTGCTCACGCAGTAAGTTGGTGGTGGTTTCGCTTGAAATGCAGCCAGGGTGCAGGGAGGGGTGCTGGGGCTGCCCCTGACACCCCTGCAAAGGCAGGGACAGCCCCAGGTCCTGCCCCAAAGCCCAGCTGCCTCTTGCTGTGCTCCTGAGGGTGTGGGTGGTCGTGGGACACCCCCCATGTGCCGTGTCCACCCGTGCTGCGCTGTGCTCCAGCTCTCTCTGGCTCCTCATCCGCATAGAAGAAAGGAGGCACAGAAACAGCAGAAAACCCACCGGCGTGCTCTGCCGGAGCCCGAAGCACAGCCCCATTGAGGTGTCCCTCTGAGAGCCACCTGGGCTTGCCAGACCTGGCAGGACGGGGCTGGAGGAGGCAGCTGAAACGGTGTTCACGGGGCAGGCGGGAGGATGCCGTCCTGTCCCCCCCTGCCCCAGCGGGGTCTGTGTCGGCTGCACCTTCATCCCACCTGCAAAGGCAGGGTCACCCCCAGGTCCTGCCCCAAAGCCCAGCTGCCTCTTGCTGTGCTCCTGAGGGTGTGGGTGGTCGTGGGACACCCCCCATGTGCCGTGTCCACCCGTGCTGCGCTGTGCTCCAGCTCTCTCTGGCTCCTCATCCGCATAGAAGAAAGGAGGCACAGAAACAGCAGAAAACCCACCGGCGTGCTCTGCCGGAGCCCGAAGCACAGCCCCATTGAGGTGTCCCTCTGAGAGCCACCTGGGCTTGCCAGACCTGGCAGGACGGGGCTGGAGGAGGCAGCTGAAACGGTGTTCACGGGGCAGGCGGGAGGATGCCGTCCTGTCCCCCCCAGCCCCCTGCCCCAGCGGGGTCTGTGTCGGCTGCACCTTCATCCCAGTGAGGATGGTGATGGTGAGAAAGGAGCATCCTTCCAGGCTGGCTCTGGACCAGCGTCTGGTGCCATCGCCTGAGGGGCACCCAGGGCCAGATTCTGCGCAGGGCGGCAGGGATGCATCCAGAGCAGCCCTGAGCACGGTTTTGCCTTCAGCGGTTCTCGGCACACAGCAAAACCCATCTGCACGGCGGCACCGAGGAAGCACCGTCCTCCCCGTGGGCTCTTGAGTGAGCACCTGGGCCGGTGGGTGCTGCGCTGGGACCCCCAGGCACTGCGGGGAGATGGATGCTCAGGCTCCTCTCCGGACCGTGGGACAGCTCGGTTGCTCCTCAGCTTTTGCCAAGCAAGAAAAAATACCTTCTATTCGTCTAGCACTTATCTGCCGTTGGTATTTCAGGCATTGCCTTAAAACAAACAGCGCCAGACAATGACACACAGATGAATCGGGTGCAGATTCGTGCAATATTAAAACCAGACAACAATTAAAGCAAACAGCAAACACCAGCGCGCATAAATCAATCCCATGCAGCAGGCGGCAGGATGCAGGCGGCGGCAGCGGGGCGAAGGGGCAGGCGACGGCAGCCCTCGGAGAGCACGCGACTTTGCCACCTCTGATTAACTTTTTCTGCTCGTGGTGATTTTTCGCAATAAGCAGGACGATGCACTTCTGGCATCAGAAATAACGGCCAACACCTTCTTGTCTTATAAAGAAAAAATCCAGCAATCCCTTCCCAGTGGTAGAGGCAGTTTGCAGATCCTAGCAAGGTTTTCCTCCAGGAAAAAAAAAAAAAAAAAAGTCAACAGAGTTGCACATAGAAAATGCACGCCTAATTTATCCAAGTAATTACTGAGCTTGGCTT